CACACACACACACACACACACACACACACACACACACACACACACACGATAACCTGTGTGGGGCTGATGCCCTCTGATGGACAGAGCAAACATGGGCAGAGTGTTCCCTGTGGAACACTAATTCCCATGCTCCCAGCAGGCTTGAGAGGCCTGGCAGTAACTTGGGATAAGATTTACTTGTTTTTCTGCAGATACCAGTTATCCTGTGGGTTAAAGCAAACTGCTGCCTCTTGATGGGGGGAAAAAAAATCTATTTTCATAGAAAAGAGCAACTCCTGAAAAAGCATCTCTGGGGACTTGTGCCTGGGATGTCCCTGTGTGTGGCTTGTGGCTCCCTGAGTGAGCAGAGCAGGGAATGGGACAAAGGGAGGGTGGTGGTGAAGGGATTACATTTTAAGCTGACAAAGAGCAGCACGTTTCCCCAGCTGCAAGCTGGATTTAATAACTTGGTGTGCAGCTCACACCATGAGCACAGGTTGCATTAAGCTGCTTTGGGCTTTACTCAGTGGCTAAAAAAAAATCATATTTTTCTATCTTTGTTGCCCGTTATCACCTTTCCCCTGACATGTGTTTTGTTTGTCACGGTTGGACTAAACTGAAATCAAGCCAGGTGTAAAACATGTTCCTCACCTGAGAGTTTTGTAGCTGCTGCTCTGTTTGGAGCTTGTCCTCCAACATCTTCTGAAGAGCCTCTTTTGCCTTCTGCTCGTAGGTCTGCTTCTGGTCCTCCATCTCTATCAGGATCTTCTTCACACACTCCTTTGAGTAACTCTTTAAAGGGAGAAATAAAGTGCTTGAAGGGTCTTCCCTGACAGATTCCTAACCTTGTTGAACCTGAATATTAGCAAATCTGGAGTGTGTAAATGCTACTGCTAATTTGCTGTGGAGCAAAGAGGGAAAAATCCTTTTTGGATATGTATCTAATCTGGATTGATCTGGAAACTGAGACCCGACCCAATGATGTGGTTTGGTGTTTTTTTCATGCCTTTTTTTTACCCCCCCTGTGTTTCTCATTAGCTCAGACATTACCTGGGTGCAAGCCTGCAGCTGATTTTCAAGGGCCCTTAGTTTGCACTTCAGTTTGTCTTCGTTCAGCTGACCCTGGGGGGAAAAAAACAATTGAACTGACATGGGAAACCAGGAACCACACAATATGCCCCCAATGTTTTGTTAGTTTGTGTTTTGATTAATTTTCTCCCTTCATCTGTAATATTGTGGCTAAATTGGGTCGAAGTCTCTTCAGTGCTGAATTCAGGTAAACCTTTGTGATCTCCAGATAAATGGGATATGGGGGAAGCAAAAGTTTTATGGACTGAAAAACTGTGTGAGGCAGTTTCACTGGTTGCTGAGTGCAGGTGCTGGCAGTGAAATCATAAATTAAAAGGGAGGGGATTTGAGTCTGGAAGGGTCCCTGAGCACAGCCCTGTTCCCTGGCTCATGGTCCCTCCCTGCCCAAAGCTCCAGCTGGTGTGACAGCCCTGACTCACTGGTTTCCTTAGAAAATAGGTCAGGTCTGTGTTGCAACATCTTGCAGTTGGGCAGGGGGACAGAGGGCAGCAGTGATGATTCATTTTGCTTGTTATCATCATCTCTTCTCGGTGTTAGTCAGGCTGCTTGGGCTTTGTGAAACCAGAATGTTGCAAATTCAGATAAAATTTCCAGCAAAGAGTTCACAGAGGCTGTTTTTTCCACCACCAGTGCTGAGAACACCAGTATCTTCTCTCTGCTCACCGCTGTTTGAAGTCACACCTCTGAAAATAAACTCCTTGATGTTACAGGAATAGCTGTTAGACCAAAGCAAAAGTAGATTCCCCTGTGTCTTAGCACTGTTTAAATTTGCACAGAAGCACGTTTACAGCCCCAAAGAGTAAATCTCCCCAGTTCAGTTGTTGGTGCAAAGAGCCAAAGGCTCAGGAAGTAAGTGGAATTTTGAAAAGTGATTTTAGATGTGAAATATTATGCCTAGTTTTCCTCAGTGGTTTCTCTTACTCTGCCTGCAGAGGTTCATGTTGGAGGGTGGTGCTGTTCCAGCTGTTGTGCACAGATGTGACTGTGCTGTGGACAAGGCAACTACACTTTGGAGCAGAAATCGTGGAATTAAAGAATGGTTTGGGTTGGAAGGGACCTTAAAGATGTAATTCCAACCCCTGCCATGGGCAGGGACACCTTCCACTAGCCCAGGTTCCTCCAAGCCCTGTCCAGCCTGGCCTTGGACACTCCCAGGGATGGGGCAGCCACAGCTTCTCTGGGCAACCTGTGCCAGGGCCTCCCCACCCTCACAGGGAAGGATTTCTTTCCAATATCCAACTTAACCCTGCCCTCTGTGAGTTTGAAGCCATCCCCCCTTGTCCTGTCACTCCAGGCCCTTGTAAACAGTCTCTCTCCATGTTTCTTGCAGGCTCCCTTCAGGTACTGAAAGGCTGCAATTAGTTCATCCCAAAGCTTCTCTTTTCCAGGCTGAACAATCCCAATTCTCCAGCCTTTCCCCACAGCAGAGATGCTCCATCCCTCTGATGAGCTTGGTGGCCTCCTCTGGATTTACTCCAGGAGGTCACTGTCCTTGTGCTGGCAAACTCCTTTGATGGAGCTGCAGCCCATAAATTGGCAAAAGAGCATAGAATGGGAAGATTTCCCTAAATGGAATAAGCTTTCCCCAGAAAAGTGATGTGAGCAAACCTTGGTCAAGCTCTTGTGTTGAAGATTAACTGTGTGAAAGGGGCCGTTTCAGAGGAAAAAAAACAACCCCTCAAGTCCAACCAACCAAAAAACACACACACAAATAAATACAGCAGAACCCCCCCCAGACCCTACAGCCACCATCATCAAGAGGGCCCCAAGTCACGTCCTATAAGCCAGGCAGGGGTGAAGATTAGGGCTAATGTGCTCAAAATACACCCTCTGTGGCAAATACCATATTTTTTTACAATTCCACAGCCCTGTTTTTCAGAGTCTGAGGTGACCTGAACAAACAGCTCCAAACCTCAAACTCTCCTGCATTTCTCCACTGCTGTCATTTAAGTGCCATGTAAGTCTTTTAAACTGCTTTTGGCTGACAGCTGCAGTGTTTTGGTTGTCCTGTGATTGGGGAATTCTCTGATACTGCTTCCCTTAGTCATTTTAGAGAGCTGGGGTAGGGTTATAATAATAAATGCAGTTTCTGGAAAGCTTCCAGTTTGCCCAAGCATGATGCTTGTGCTAGAAAAATAAGTCCATATAGCAGCAGTGATGTGCTGGAAATGGCAAAGAGCTTAAACTCTGCAGAGCAGTTTGAGGTATTTCCAAAAATCAGGCTCAGCTTCAAATGCCAGGAAAAGGAGAAAAATACACTAAAGCAGCAATTTTCTTTAGGAGGAGAACAGCTTAAAATTAATTACTCTTGATAATCATAACCAAGACTCTCTCAGCATCCCTCGTCTGGCAGCACAGAGTTTTGCAGCAGATGGGGGATTCAAGGCACAGAGCTGGGGTAGGAAGAGCTCTCTGAGCTAGAAGTGAAATCGTGGGAGGGGGAAGGAGGCACCAAATGCTTTATCCCTTCACTTTGGCACCCCCGTCCTCCTGCAGAGTGTTCACCTGCTCCATCCAGCCAGGAGCACCCAGGAACACCAGCAGCACCTCTGGAATGGGCACAGAGTGGTTTCTGGAGCTCCAAAATCATCCATGTGTGCTCAACAGCATGTTCTTGAAAATCAAAATACCGGGAAAGGTTAAAAAGCTGCTGCAACAAGAGTTTGGCATCTCACCTGGGCCTGGAAAAAGGCAGCCAACCATCAGCTTGTCCTGTCCATCCCTCCCTTTGCCAGCACCTCCTGTGGCTCCAGGAATTCCCGTCCCAGCAGCACCACTGGCTCCAGCCCCCAGTTAATATTTAGGCTGATGAAAGGTTGGATGCAAGAGGCAGCAGCAGCAGAGACAAAGGAGCAGCAAAGAGCACCCACCTGTTTCTAATCTGAGGTTTCATGGCTACTTCCTGCAGAGTGTGGCAGGGGGTGTTTTTTCCTGCTCATATTAGATTTGAAGAAGCAAATGGAGGAGGAAGTTTCAAACCACAGGATGTGTCTGACACAAGGTTTCTGTGCCCTCTCGCCCAATAATTGCTCGTTTTTCTGCCCCGACAGAACTTTCAAAGCCCCTTTTTTTTTTTTTTTTAGTGCCACAATGAAATATAAATTGATTTAATAATCCTAGAGAAAAGCTTAATATATTACACACAGTGCATCACCTTAATTTTGTGTCTTGATAACAAAAAAAAAAAAAAAAAAAAGGGCCTGGGTGAGTGATGCCCAGAGGATTTTCAGTCCAGGGTTTGCCAGGACTTGGGTGCACCTAAAATCTTTATTTTTGCAAAAAAAAAAAAAAAAATTAAAAAAATGTTCAAAATGCTTGAAACTTGTTTTGACTAGAAGAGATAACTTGGTGGAAGATTACTGTTTGGGTTTATTCCAATTTTTTCCTCATTTACACACAGCTGTTGGCTTATATTTAAGAAAAAGTGGGAAAGACAAGTATAAAAACCTCCAAAAAACCTTACAGAAGGAAGGATTTTTAGACTTCCTGTTGATGGGGAAAGCAAAGAACATTTTTTATAATGATCTTTTGGGGTGTTCTGGTACCTGCCAGGATTTCTCTGAGGCTTCCAGGAGTGTGGAGAAAAGCTCCTGCAAAATCACCATCTTCTGCTTGAGCAGCAGCTCCCGGTGCAGGGCCTCCTGTGGGGAAGGGAGTTAAAACTGGGCATGTAACACCATTATTAATATTATTAACAATTATTTTAAATATTTAAATACTAAATTATTATTTAATAATAATAATAATATTTTACAAGTATTGTTCTTGATGAAAACCAGCTTTCCCTGAGCTGGTTTGATACCTACCTTCAGGTAGTTGGACAGCTGCATCATTTCCTGCAGGGGAAAGGGCAAATGTTTAAAAATAGGATTATATCAGTTTATAAACAATTAATGAACTGACTACAAAATCTGAATGTTTTGAAATAGAAGTGAATTAACAGCCTATATTTACATGGTTGGGGAGAGCTTGCTGGGGTTTGTTTGGGTGGGTTTTTTCCCAGGGAAATGAAAATATTTTTATTGCAACTGACTGTTGGAGTTGGGGTGTTTTTGCCACGCAATGTGTGACATCAGGGCAGGTGCTGAGTGAGAAGAGCAGAAATCAGCACCTTTCCTATAGCAGGAGTGTCATAACTTTGGAAAATAGAGAAATTTAGCACCACTCAGTGTCCCAGTCAGAAATTCATGGAATGATTTAGGTTGGAAGGGACCTCCAAGATGATGTAATTCCACCCCTTCCACTAGCCCAGGTTGCTCCAAGCCCCTTCCAACCTGACCTTGGACACTTCCAGGGATGGGGCAGCCACAGCTTCTCTGGGCAACCTGTGCCAGGGCCTCCCCACCCTTAGAGTAGAAAATTTCTTCCTTATATCCACTTTAAATCTGCCTTCCTTCAGCTGAGAGCCACTTGAAAACTGATTTAATTTGTAGGAGTTCCAGGCTGGTCATTCCCAGTGTTTTGCTCACCTTATTAAAAACTGCTGATCCACAGCTGAAATAAAAACCAAAGTGTGTTACTGAGGTGTGTATTGGGGATCTGCAGCCATCTCTGCTGCTGGACACCCTCTACCACCCCCACCCAAGAGGAGGTTTTGTACAGAAAAATCCTGTGCCTTTTTGAGGGGGAATATTTTGGGCTTGGGAAGCTGCTGCTCTGTGGGATCTGAATTCCCAGCCCAGGGAAGGAGGGCAGGACCAACTCACTCTGTCTGCTGGCTCGAGTCTTTCACTCCTTCCCTTGGATTTGCAAGGGTCTGTGTTCCTGTGAAGGCAAAGTGAAAGGATGGGAATGATCCCCCCATCTGAGGGACCATGAACTTTGTCTTTTAGAGTCTCCACTCCCAGATGGCTCCTAGGATGGGCAGCAGTTTAAATAGTGTCCAGTGACAACTAATAGGGGCAAGAGGCAAAGAAATGTCCTGCTCTGATGGACAGAGAAGTAGAAGCTGAGTAATCCTGCAGAGATCCCCCTCTCCTGTCCCCTGGCCCCATCAGCACTGGCAGAGCTCATCATCCCTATTTACATCCCATGAATGTTGCTCAGAGGGTCCCAGCCAGGGAGCTGCTGTGGCTGTGCCTGGTGTGAGACTTCCTTGTATCCAGTAAATCACGTTAATGTAGGAAGGAGGGGGGGAAAAAAAAGCCCCCAGAGCTCTGGATAATGCTGGGACAGTGACAGGGAAGCTGTAGGGCAGAGCATCTGCTTGGCAGCATTGGGGGTTAAGCTGTGGGCTGCTTTATCCCTCCACAGGAAAAAGTATTCCTAATTCCTGCAGTGTTCAGGGGAAACTCAGGCTGGGATGGTCAAAGCTGGCTGGGGAGCTGGGGTTGGAGGGGAGCCACCAGCTCATCCCAAAGAGTTTGGTGATGAGGTGAGAAAGGGATCCCATGGATGCTGCTGTGCTGGGAAACCAGAGCATCCCTCACCTACCTTGGCTGTTCACAGAGTCCCTTTGCCCAGGAATGGTTTCTGCTGGAATGCCAAGGGGGACGCTGAGGTGGAGCAGGGGCTGTGCAGGGGGTGATGTGGGGCTGCTCCACAAGTCCTGGAATGAGAGGGCAGCTTGAGTCAGTGTCTCCCTAAAATAGGCTGAGGGAAAGGGGTTAAGGCCTGGTCAGGCTTGGTAGCTGTGGTGACTGGGTGAAGAGCATGAAGAAACCATGGCAGATCCACCAGGATCTGCTGCTTTGGCTGCAGCTGCTCCAGAGCTTTTTGGGAAAGTGGAAGAAAAGCCAGCTGGCTGCTGGGGTGGGAGGAATGGCAACACCAGAACAGGTCAAGGAACCCCCTCTAAGTATCTTGACATCCTTTTGGGAAAGATGAGGACTTTGAGTGGCAGGGAAATAGGTCCTGGTTGAGGTCTCTGCTGCCATTTGGCTCCCTTGGAGCAGAGGTGCCAGTTCTGCACTGGCTTCCCCCAGGGCTGGAGCTTTGATATCTCTGCAGGAGTAAATAGAGAGGGCCCTGTGAGCGTGTAAATGCCTGTTCCAGATTCCTGTAACTAAACCTGGTGAACCAAATGGCAGCAGGAGGCTGGTAATTGCTCTGCTCAGTCTTGTGCTGCAAAGGGAGTTTGAGGGTGTGCCTGGGTAAGTCACCTCATGTTTGATTGTCTGTGCTCACACAAGTTTGTGAAGCCCCAAGGATGAACTCAGGGAATGGTTCATTTTACACGGATAGAAGTTTAGGAGGAAATCTCTTTGGTTCTGACTGGGGTGTTTTGCAGCTTGCCACAGATGTTATTCAAGACAGAAAGCCCTCTGGGTTCCTGTCAGCTGTGCAGCACAGGGCTGGCAATGGGTGCCAGGGAGTCTCCTGATCTCTCCACCCTTCCTGCTAACAGCAAAGGTGGCTGGAGGGAACCCAGGTGCTCAGAGATCACTTAGCAAAGCTAAAATAACCTGTGTAAGTGCAAACCTGTAGCTTGGCAGCTGGGATGTGGGGTTGTGCTTGGAGGAATGGCAGAAAATGCCTGGCTCAGGGTTCGGAAAACAGGAGAGGAGCACTCTGGGGGGGGGGGGTGTGACAACGTGTGTGCCTGCACCTGACTCTGCAGGGTGTGAGCAGAGCAGTGTCTTTGTCTGTGCAAATCTCACATTTTGGCTGCGCTGTGACATGGACCCTGGTGTTTTGGTGGGTGCTGAGCTGTGCCCCAGGGGCAGGGGTTACCTGGAGCAGGACGGTCGGTGAGGAGCCCGGTGGGGTTTGTGCCTCCAGCTCCTGCCTCGGGGGTGCCCTTCCCACCTCGCCCGCCAGGTTTCTCCTCCTCAGGAACTCCCTCTGGCGCGGGCTGTGGGGTGGCTGCCCCGCTGCCCTCGGGAGGTGCCGGCAGGTGGTCGCGTTGTTCCTCCTGCGCAGGTTCTCCCTGCTCTCCTGCCGCCGCTCGCACTTCTCCTCGTAGCTCTCCCCCGAGCGCCGGAGCCGCGGCCGAGCCCCCTCCCCGGGCTGGCTGATCATCCTGGGCTCTCACCTCCCCGAGCCCCTCTGTCCTGGTGGAACTGAGGGAAAAGACACCGTTTGAGTCAGAACTAATCGTTTCTAAGGTTTAGTGAACGTGAGGTGTTTGGTTCAGGAGTCCTCAGGCAGTGGGTGTAAGTGTTGCTGGAGAACAATCTGCACAAGTCCCCGACAGGAGGGTGTAGCCAGGTGAGGGTCGGCCTCTCCTCCCAGGCAACCAGCAGCAGGACAAGAGGGCACAGTCTTAAGCTCTGCCAGGGGTGTTTTGGGTTGGATATTAGGAAGAAATTCTTTTCAGAGAGAGGGATCAGACACTGGAAGGGGCTGCCCAGGGAGGTGGTGGAGTCACCGTCCCCAGGGGGGGTTTAGGAAGAGGCTGGATGTGGCATCTGTGCCATGGTCTAATAGACAAAGTGGTGTTATGTCAGAGGTTGGACTCAGTGATCTCAGAGGTCTTTTCCAACCTCGTTGATCCTGTAAATCCATTGCCCATGAAGTCTAAAACACACCCCTCTGGTCTTGCTCTGTTGGGTGTGTCCTGACCCAGGATTAGCCAAGCTCTGGCTTTCTTTCATTGCACATACAAGCGTAGAGATCAATTATTATTCTTTGGGATTAATTAATTGTTAAGCTGTGCTCAAGGACTGGGGGCACAGGCTCTTAGTTTGCCTCAGGCATGAATTCTACCCCACATCTTGGGAATTTGGGGCCCAAACCAGGCAGTGGCGTGGCCAAAGGAGGAGATTCTCCATTCCAGCACTGTTGCACTGTCTACATGTGTGCACAGGGTGCAGGGATGGAACCTCCTCCCTCCTCATGACTTCTCTGCAAGTCACCACTGTGTTATTCCTTACTGGACTTTGGTGGTATCAAGTGTATTTGAGCCTTTGCCTCTGAATCAGTTAAAGGGAAAGCTGAGCAAGAACTACCCAAACTACTTTTTATTCCTCCACAGCAGAAGCTGTGTCCTCCTCTCCTGTCCCCTGGCCCCGTCATCCCTATTTACATCCCATGAATGTTGCTCAGAGGGTCCCAGCCTGGGGGGGATCAGACAGGGACCTGCTGTGGCTGTGCCTGGTGTGAGACTTCCTTGTATCCAGTAAATCATGCTAATGTAGGAATAAGGGAAAAAAAAAAAAGAGGAATTTTAGTCTCTGAAAATTCAGGTTAAATGTTCTTCAGTGTGAAACAAAAACCACCAAAACTTCATTGGTCTCTTTCTGTCTCAGGCAATTAGGAAGTTATTGAGTCTAATGGGAAAAAAAAAATGGGAACAAGTAAGTCTCATTTACACGTGAAATACTTCCATGCTGTTGAGTCTGCATTAAAATCTGCTCTGTAATTCTTTTTGTTGGCCTTGTGTTCACTGTGAAGTGCTCAAAGCTCATTCCTGGTGACATCTTTCACTGTAGGGGCACCTGTGCAGGGAGCACAGTGGTTTTTGGGTGGTCAGGTGCCCACAAGCCCCAACCAGGGCACTGCTCCGAATGCTGAGTGTTTTTCAACTGATTTTGCTGAGTTTTAGACAAGGTCCCATTAAATGTCCTGCCCAGTCTGTGCTCATCCATCTGCTCCTGTCAGGAATAGCTCAGCCCCTCTCCCACCTGTGCTGTCCCAGGGCTGGAATAGCCCCAGTTAACCAAAAATGCACTTTAAAGCAAGGTAAAGCTTAAAGAAACACACAGTCCATTACTCACCCCGAGCTGAGCAAACTGTTGAGGCCTTCTTGACAGGCTAACACTCTATTTCCTCCTTCTGTTACCCCAAATCACCCTGTCTAATTAAACATGTCCTTTATCTGTGCTTTCCAAGCTGTTACACTTCTTGCTTCAAGGGAAACAAGAAAAAAAAAAAAACCCAACAGTGCTTCTTGCTGGTTCATGTTACAGCTTCCCGGTGCAAGTTTTGTGTAGGCTGAAAGTGGGGTGAAAAAAGAGGAAAGAAGGTGCACGTTGCTGCTTTTAGTCTCTGCTCCCCCCCAGTCCTCGCTGCCCCGGTGCTGTGGGTGCTCCAGCACTTACCTGGCCCCAGAGGTCCTGTCCTACCCCTGGACTGCTGTGCAGGAGCAGGGTGTTATCAGGCATGAACACGCTCCCACTGCCATCTTCGTGCCAACCACCTCGTTTTCTGCTCTCACTCTCTTTTTTTCTCGCTCTGTAAAACAGGAAACGTTGCAGCTGCAGCTGAGCCCCGGTTCCTGTCTCTGCTCACAGCCCTGCTTGTGGGACACAGGGCCCAAGCTCACGGGCACTTGGGTTATCTTGGGAGCCCAAACTCTCTCCAGCTCCTCTCTAAGCAGACCTAACAATTATCTTTTGGGCCATCTACTGGTCTCCACCATGCAGAGGTTGAGCGCTGGCTCATGGAACTGCTCGTGGCACTCGGTGACTGGGTTTCCCCAAAGCTGCTTTGGGGTAGAGAAATCCAGACTTAAGGAAGCACAGTAATGCTATTATTTTAAGGGCTTTTTGTGGATTGGAAAGGAGGGAGAGGGGGGGAAAAACGTGTTTTGGCAGCTGAGGAGAGCTCAGGAATGGCAGAAATTCATTAAGGTCTTTAGAGAAGCGAAAGCTTTGTTAATGCAAATCGAGAGGAGGTGGGTTTAGCCAGCTGGGTGCTGATAAGGGCTCTGTGCCCTGGTAAGGGCTCTCTGCCCTGATAAGGGCTCTGTGCTTGTGCACGTGGAAAAGGAACACAAAGAAACGTGGAGATCTCGTAGTAGTGTAGGATTTATTTTTACAAAGACCAACCTAGAAGGGATACAAAAAATTTCCTGGTTCTTGTGGCTTTGGGTGGTTTGTGCTGCTTGGCCCAAACCTCTGTTCTGGCTGGTGTCCTGTGGTACTTGGTACCTCTGCCTTGGTGGCTTTCCATGGAGGAACAGTTTCTGGAGGCTGAGCAGGATGCTGGCAGCAGATCCTGCTGCAGGACTTCTCTGAAGTGCCTCTTGGGTGCAAAAAGCCAGTTGCAAGAGTTCATTTCTAAAAAGGGTGTTTTCCTGCCGTGTTACACACTTCTGGAGCATCCTGTCTTGAGTTGCCAGGGTGTGCCAGCATGAGCTGCCCAGGAGGTGTGGAAGCAGCTGGATCAACACCCAAACCCCTGCTGCCTGGCCCAAGGTGTCCTGGCACACTTGTTGTCCCCGTGACTACGTTCTTTTGAGGTTTTCCACGCGGTAGCTGCTCCTGATGGAGGAGTCGAGGAATTCGGGGGCAATGTCCCGGAGGAGGATGGCAGTGCCCACCACCCAGGGTGGGTAGTGCAGCTCCCGCTGGCGCAGGGCTCCAGCCTTGATGATCTCCAGGGCACACTCCTCCTTTGGAGCCGGTTTGTCCCGGAGAACGTGCGAGACCGCTCGCACAGCACTCTCTGGAAAGGGGGGAGCACAGGGAGGGAAGGAGTGGTGTCAGATGGAGGGGCTGCCACAGGCACCAGCCAGGGTGTCTGAAGAATTCTCAAACTGACAAACTCTGGGCATCAGACTTGCTTAAGGAGGCTTGGAACAGTTACAATAACAGTTACAGCTACGCCCTTCCCATTCCTTTCCACCTCTTGAGGGACCACGGGGTGGAATCCCCACCTCCCCTGCAAGGATAGCAGAGTTAAAAGTCCCAGGCCATGCTTTTTAAAGAGTTGGGGTCCTGTTTCCACCATTGCACGGACACTGCAGGTAGAGGGTCCAGCAGTGGTGGCAGAGCAACCTGGAGCCAGAGGGTGGGCCCAGCTTGGCCCTGCCTGGGAATGGACCGAGTCCCGAGGCCCCGGTGGTGCTGAGCTTACCTGTGTTGATGTAGCCCAGGATGCAGAGTGTGATGGAAACATTGACCTTGTCCATGACAAATTCGTGTCGCAAGGAGCTGAAAAATCCATCCAAGGCGAACTTGGTTGCGGAATAGGAAGCAGCAAACGGGGAGCCGACTTTACCTGGAGCAGAGACACAACGCTGGGGTTCACGTGCTGGGCAGGCACCAGCTCTCCCTTCCTCCTGCCCTTCAAGGAGCTGCAGTATTGTGATTGAGGTGATGGAGTAAACTGTCATGAATGCTTGAGGGAAATAAACAAGTGTAGAAATGTTTTAAATGTAACATATGGCACAAAGTACCTTCTGTTGGGGGTGATAGTGTTCCTGTATTCAGGAAGAGACACCCACAGATAGCAAATCATGTTTAGTATGTGGCCATGCACGTAAAACAACTGCAGTGCTATGCAGGAAGGTGATTAGTGGGTGACTAGAAGGACAAAATATAAGCTATAAATCTCCCAGAGGTCTTGAATTGGGCATCCAGGATCCAGGTCTTGCTGACCCTGACTCCCAGTGGGTGGCTCTCTGCCTTATGGTCCTTGTTCTGTCACAGCAGGGATCCCTTGCGGGCAGAGGAGGGGATGTGGGCAGGGAGAGGCCCCTCGTGTGCTGACCTGCCATGGATGAGACCACCACGATGCTGCCCTCGCTCTCCCTCAGCATGGGCAGGGCTGATGTGGTCATGGCCACGTAGCTCAGGAAGTTGGTCTCCAAGAGCTTTCGTACGTGCCCAACGTTCCCATCGAAGTAGTTGAAGGTGGAGTAACCGATGTGGTTTAGGATGAGCATGTCCAGGCCTCCTGCAAGCAGAGCACGTTTGCTGTTAGCAACAGGCATCTCTGAACACAGCAGCTTCCTGGGGGTTGAAATGGCCCCCACAGTGTGGGAGGGGATGTGCTGGGCAGCTCCACAGCACCTACCCCAGGTGTTCTCAGCCTCCCTCACCACCACCTCAGGGAACGAGGGGTCCTCCATGGAGCCACTGATGTAGCGGGCAGAGGCAGCTCCCAGCTCCAGGCATTGCTCCACCACCTGTGGGGATGGTGGGAATGGTGTTGGCATGGACTCACCTTCACGGAACACCCCCATCCCAGGCTGTTGCTGTCTCAGGGCATCTCCCTGTCCTGCTGGAAACCCTGCTCCCTTTATGGGATGAGACATGTTACTTGGAAAACTGATTTTGCCTGCAGAGTTGAATGACAGCACATCTGAGGCAAATATTTAGTGTTTATAAATAGGGATATGATTGCTTAATGTTAGCACTTTAATTCTGTTTTATACAGGATACAAAACCAGATCAGAATTGGAGAAAGGGCAAGGGTTGATCAGACGAGGACTTGAGCAGGCCTTGTCTGTGGTGGTGGAGGTCAGAATTCACAGCTGGAGGCTGCAGAGGAGGAAATGCTGTGCTGTCAGCATTGAAAATGCAATTTTTGTACTGGGAGTTGTGTGTGTGTTAGAACAGACTCGTGCTGGGGATACACCGGGGTGGGTCTGGAAGGTATCTGTGGTGTTCCCATGTGGGTATCCTCATCCAGCCCGGCTCTGCTTGCCATTTACTTTCTGCAGCTTGGCCTCAGTCCGTGCCGTGAGCAGGAGGTGTGTCTCCATGCGTGCCAGGTGATAGGCCATCTGCTCCCCGATGCCGCTGCTGGCTCCCGTCACGATCACCCGCTTCCCCCGGAGCATCTCTGGAGAGGAGGGCGCGGAGCTCAGAGCCGGCACAGCCCCTGTTGTCTCTCCACACGTGGGCACTGTGGCTCCTCTCTGGCCCTGCCGCCCCTCACCTTCGGGTGCAGGAGCTGCGGGCAGCGCGGCCCCGCTGCAGCGGGCACCCCTCTCCAGACCCCCGCTGGAACCTGATCCTTAATCCCGGCTCCTTAATCCCGGCTCGGTGGGGAGCACGTGCGAGGCTCGAGCTCTGCACCCAGCCTGGCCTGGGAGCGGCGAGAGCCAGCTAATAAAAGGATTAAATTGGAAAAGCGCACGTTTCCCAGGTCGGTCATTCACAGAGGTCACACCCCGCGTGTCCCAGCAGAGCCGGTGTAACCCCGAGAGTTCTTCCCTTCAGTTCAGGAAGGACATTGAGGTCCTGGAGCAGGTCCAGAGAAGAGCAACGAGGCTGGGGAAGGGACTGGAGCACAAGTGCTGTGAGGAGAGGCTGAGGGAGCTGGGGCTGTTCAGCCTGGAGAAGAGGAGGCTCAGGGGAGACCTCCTCACTCTCTACAACTCCCTGACAGGAGGGGGGGAGCCAGCTGGGGGTTGGTCTCTCTTCCCAGGCAACTCTCAGCAAGACAAGAGGGCTCGGTCTTCAGCTGTGCCAGGGGAGGTTTAGGTTGGAGATTAGAAAGAATTTCTTTGCAGAGAGGGTGCTCAGCCATTGGAATGGGCTGCCCAGGGAAGTGGTGGATTCTCCATCCCTGGAGGTTTTTAAGATGAGACTGGATGTGGCATCAGTGCCATGGTCTAGTAACCACGGCAGTAGTGGGTCAAGGGTTGGACTTGATGATCTCTGAGGTCCCTTCCAACCCAGCTGATTCTATGATTCTATGATTCCTGTGCTCTGACCCCTTGCACGGGGGGCTGCCTGCCCTCCCCTCCCAGCCTGCAGCCCTCCCACACTCTGGCTTCCCTGGCTGTGCTCCAAAAGGCCCTTCAAGTGGCCTGTGCCCCTCTGCATGGCACACTCTGCCACACTGGCACAGCCTCCCTGCGGTTGTTTTTTCCCCATGACTTACCTTCGTTGAAACTCGGAGGCGTTGAATAAAAATAAAAAGCCAGTGCTGCTCCCAGCAAGGGGATGAAAATCTTCAGGAGCAAACCCATCCCTCTGCAAAAATACAGGCAGGAGTGAGACAAACCCCACAGCTCTGGCCACTGCAGGTGGAGGTGACTGCAGGCTGCAGATGGGGCTGGGAAGGTTTGAGCTGGTTCTTGTCTTGCGTAAGTTTGCTGGTATCTGTCGGATCCTTTCGTTGCTCTGCCAGTGATTTAGCAAACATTAACCTAATGAAGAGTGTAGCTTTGGACTTTAGGCTGTCCCTTTGCACCCTTGGCCTGCCAGGAGTTTCAGGTGTGCTTTTTGAGAGCATTCAAGGGAAGGCACTGAACAGTTTCTCACTCCACAGAGTGGTGGGTGTGTTGTTTGGTGGTTGCTTTTTGGGGCTGGGACACCCGTGTCCCCCCAGAGCAGAGGGGGGATGGATGGACATCCTTCTCCCTCCACTCTGCTTCTAAAACAAAAGCAACACTTCCCTTCCTCATTGGCTGCCACAAGGATTTATTTATCAGTGGTATCACTGTGGTACAGGTTCACAGAAATATCTGAAGAGAGCAAGGCTGGCAAATTTGCCTTTTCCAACCAGTAGTGATGTTTCTGGTTTATCCTCCATGATATCACCATTGGTG